AAATGGGTTTAGGATTTTTTTGGTAATGTTCCATGTTATGAAAGCTATATCAAATAAATGTCTCGTTTCGACAATAACAAAGCTAATTTGAAAGGCCACTATAAACACCTTCTTCACCAATTGCATAGGTGGATTTTGACTTGGGTTATTTCCTCTAATTATATTCATGGATTTACCCAAAAACAATTCATCAAGAGTACCAACCTCTCTTCTTTCTAATTTTATTTTCAGAAAAGAAGGGATATGCATGCTTTAGTCTACTTGCAACTTTCTATCTTAGGTTAGCCATTCGACTTTTGATACTAAACTTTAATTATCTGAACTATTAAATAAATTGGAGTGCGACCAATCACAAGGTGTGTTCGTCACAAGATTAGGTATATGCCATCGTCATCTATTTTTCTCTTTGAGGAAATCGATTAACCTTATCTGGATAGAGGTGTGCCAAGTCATTTGAAAGCATACATCGAATATGCCTCAACTTCATGTTTTGATATATGCTTTATATCTCCGAATAAACTTAGCATAAACAAGGAAAATTGGTTCGGTTCTCTTGGAGTTTGATTTCTCTCATCATGTCCCATAATATTAAGAAATGTTGATGTGTTTCCCATCGAATAAGTCGGGCCTTACTGATAACAAACTAATATTAAAAAATGTTAATGTAATTCCCGTCGAATAGGTCGGGCCTTACAGATAACGAACGACGTGAAACAAACGCGATAATATAGAAAACAAACCACCACAAATTAGGAAAAAGACAATGACCATTGTCAAGAGATCAAGCAGAAATTGTTCATTGAGATTTAATCAATTTATAGCTGAGATTTGACACCTTATTATAGTGGATTAGTCATGTATCTTTGTAGGGTTTAATTGATTTTTAGCTCAGATTGTCAAGCATGCATCTTTGTTTCTTTTCCTTGGCACGTCACATTGTGAACATTGTTGAGTATATGAAACAATGTACGTGATCTTTGTTCAATATGGTTGGAGGAGAGAGGACTCGAAACGCATGCAACTTTGGGGGTTTCAATCAGCACATCACAGGTTAGGGTTTCTAAGGGGGAGGGGACCATTAGGAAAACTGAAAGGTACCACTTAATCATACATACATTTAATATCTAATCATCTCACCTAACATAGGACAATGACTCAAATAAATCATCGATTTGCCTTGAAATGGGTCATTAATAAATTACCAAATTGAAGGGGCTGTACTTGGAGTTGAATATACTTTAATTAGTTCCATATATCTCCTAGTCAGGGGAAATCTTCCCATCAGTACTAAACCTATTGTACAAATACCAATCCTAAATTTTTTGGTTTTGTCAATTTAGTTATAAACCTTTGCGTGAAGTTCCAATATAATCATTCCGGCCAATTTTCGCTTAAAATCGCTGATGTAGGGGTACGCCACGAAGGACGGCCAACGATAACTGGACCGTCGCATCAGAGATTTTTGTCAAAAATTAGCCCAAAAATTAAATTAGAATTTCGTGCAAATATTTAGGACTAAATTGGAAAAATCAAAAAATTTAGGATTGATTGGATGATTTCCCCATATTTTATCTGTAAAGATTCACATATCTCTTAGATCTCTTGATACGTTGTTCGGGTCCTGCTAGGTCTCCACAAGTAACGATTTAGGAATTAAATATGTTACTTGACACAAGTTGATCTATAATTAACTGATAAGACTCCTGACATCATGCTGCATCAGCTTATTGTGTCCAAATTGACCTTCGAAAATTCACTTTTGCTGGTTATTAACGGGCGGTCGTTTTTTTATTTTTTGGTGGCCAATCGCGAAATGACAAGTGTAGCGCAATCACATATCATTAAAAAACAACACAATTTTTTAGGACAATACGTGATCTCTAGGCAACTTTCACAAGGGGATAGGGTAAGTGATATGTACAATGTCATTGCAAAAGGTAGGAGCAATTAAAAAAGAAATTTGGATGAATCGTTTGATGTTCATGTCCACCGCGGACGTTCCACTTTGTCTCAGGATTGAGTGCGTGGATGTACTTTATCAACGATCAATCCAAAAAGATCTAAGGAAATCTTGTTTGATCAACCAAATTCACCAGCCTGAGTTGATTTTTGTGACATGATTGATTAGGTTGATTATTTATTAGCATCGTCATCTACACTTGGGCTCCATTTATTTCACGGAAAATATTTTTTAGAAAACATTTTTCCTCATTTTTCAGCATTTGCGTTGCTTACAAAAATGAGTGAATAGAAAATCTATATTTAAAGGAAAAAGACCACTAAAAATCCAAAATTATGCTCGCTGTGATATATTTACCCCAAACTTTTTTTTGTGATATCAAAAATCTCAAACTATACACATTGTGACACATTTACACTCTGTTAGGTTCTGTTAAAATTTTTTATTAAAACTCTGACGTGACACTAACGTGGCGCTCGCATGATGCCACATCAGAAAAAAAATTTTAACAAAAATTCAAAAAAGTGACTGTTCATTGTGAGTTACTGTTCATTATCTTCTCGCTTGGCCAAAGCTTTTCTAGAGCTCATCCGTCGCTGCCCACTGCCGCCTAGACCTTCGGGAGCTTTGTCGTAGCTGTCAACCATGGTGGCTGCGAGCTCGAAGCTTGGCCGTGGCCGCTCCGGTAGAGCTCGAAGCTTGGCCATGGCGGCCGCTCAAGCTCGAAGCTTGGCTTGATGACGAAGAAGAGGAATACAATGACGAAGATCCACTTCGGCCAAGCTTCGCCCTTAGGCCAAGCTTCGAGCTCAAGCGGCCGCCATGGCCAAGCTTCAAGCTTGAGCGGAGCAATCATGGCCAGCCAAGCTTCGAGCTCGAGCGGCCGCCATGGCCAAGCTTCGAGCTCACGGCCGCCAAACTATAAGGTCGAAGAATTGAAGCTCAATATTAAGGACGGGGGAAATGGCGAGGCCGTGGAGGTGTCGCTCGGTCTCACAACCAGAGGTTCTCTTCCTCTGAAACTTCCCGGAAGCTATCCAAGTTCCATCGGTTTCAACTCGAATGGCTATCTTTCTTGATGGTAAAACTGTTGATCCTTGCATTATCATCTTCTAACCACATTTTGATAAGAAAAGAAAAGCCAAAAAGGAACGAGCTTGAAGCTTGGCCATGGCCGCTCCACTCGAGTGGAGCGGCCATGGCCAAGCTTCAAGCTCACGGCCGCCATGGTTGGCAGCTACCACGAAGTTCAAGTGGAGCTGCCATGGCCAAGCTTCAAGCTCACGGGCGCTATGGTTGGCAGCTACCATGAAGCTCCTGGAGGTCCAGGCGATAGTGGGCAGCGACAAACCAACTCCAGAAGAGCTCTGGCCAAGCGAGAAGACGATAAACAGTAACTTCGAAGATGATGAACAGTAACTCGCAATGAACAAAGATTTTTTTTTAAAATTTTTTTCTGATATGGCGTCACGCGACCGCCACGTCAGAGTTTTAACAAAAAATTTTAACAGAACCCTAACGGAGGTTAAATGTGTCACAATGTGCATAGTTTGGGGTTTTTAGTGTCACAAAAAAAAAGTTTGGGATAAATGTGTCACAATAGGCATAGTTTTGGGTTTTTTGTGATTTTTTTCCCATATTTAAATTCAGAAATCGAAAATCATTTTTTTAAATATGATTAGATATCGATACTTAAACCATAAACTCTACGTTTGGGCACGGGAACTCTAATGCTTGTTCTCAAGCTCTTGACAGTGGCCGGGTTCATCAAGTCCAAAGAGGCCGGCTCGAAACCCCGGTGCCCAAGCCCAGGTCCGAAGAGTTTGGGCTTGGGACACCAGCATCCATGGCTAGGCCTAGGATTTCGGTATCGTTGCTCGACTCCTTGGCGCCCTAGCCTAGGTCCATAGAGATTGGACTCAAGACCTGATGCTTGTGCCCAGATCTTTAATACTCATGTTCGAGTCCATTAAGGCTAGGCTCAAGTCCACAAAGTCCGGGCTAGAGACCCCATGCTTGGGACCGGGTCCATCAAGACTAGGACCGTGACCCAAGTGCCAGTGCTCGGGTCCCCAGTGCCGGGGCCCATGTCCATCAAGGCTGCACTTGTGTCCATTGAGGCTGCGCTTGGGTCCCCGACGCCCGTACCTGTGCTCGGGACCCCCGCGTCCTAGCCCGAGTCCCAAGTCCATTGAGATTGGGTCCAAGATGCCAGCTCAATCAAGGCCCGGCTTTAGACCCTGACCCCCGCACCCAGGTTCATCGAGACCAGGCTTGTGTTCATCGAGGCCGGGATCGGGACCCTGGTGACCGTACCCGGTTCCCTGGCTGCCCGGTTCCCTAGTTGCCTATGCGCAAGTCACTAATGCGCCGAATAATGTATAATTATTTAGATTTGATTTTTCTTACCAAATAACGAAAAATATTTTTTTAGTTCAGTTTCAGATTTCAGCCCAACACCGATTGATTCAAGGTATAGATTCTGAATTGGGACTGATTCAGGGTACAGAATCGGAACCGGACCCAACGCCTTGGGAACCGGACCGTCCAATTGCTTACCACTTCTAATACGTAATAACGTTGTGTTGGGGGCGGCGGCGGGGTCGTATTCGGAGAAATCTTAAATTTCACGCCCGGAGACCCGTCTGGTTAAAAATTAAGCGGGAATCACCGCATCCGTACGCGGGGGTTTCGGCAAACCTAATTTCTTTATTTAAAATTTTGTCGGAATCAGCAATCGGATCAGGCGAAGAAAACATTGTTTTCCTCTCTGTCCGATAACACATCCTTCCATGCTTTTCTTCCCTTTTCCTCTCCTCAATAAACAAACGAATTCCGTGAAGGAAACAAACTCTCATCAGGCTTCACAGCCGTTAGTTTGCCATTGTCGTCTCCCCCGTTCTCTGTCCCTCTCACATCGCTCTCTGCGTGCTTGAGTACGACTGCAGAGAGAGAGAGAGAAAGAGAGGAGATAGAGAGAGAAAAGAGAGAGAGAGTTGGTTTGTATTATTGGCAGTAGTAGTACTTTTGGACGTGGGGAGCGGGTGCTATTTAATGTCCAGTCATCCGCACCACTGTCTCCATCCCACGCCCACGCCTGAAATCCTCTCGTATCGCCCGAGTGTGTATCTTTCTCTACTTGCATTTTGCTCTTGCGGGTCGCTCCGATACTCTGTCCCCGGTTCTTGAGCCTTCTTGGGTTGTCCTTACATGATCGTTTCCCCCTCTGTGAGTAATGTAACTCGTTGTTCCGGTGTTGCAACGCGGTCTGTGTGCTGGACTGCGAATGCCCGTTTCCCCTGAAGTTCGTTGACCGGTTGCTGTGGTGTTTCTCGACCATGACTTGTCGTTAGCTCCGCTGTGTTCTGGGTTTTGAGCATTTTGCTCGATAGTACTCTCGGGTCGTCGGTTGTTTCGCTCCAGTAATGGCTTTCCGTTAGTTCGAGTGCGTTTCGCTCCTTAGGACTTCGTAGAATTGGCTGCGAGCTCTAGCTTCTGATTCCGCGCCATGTAACGGTTCCTTGGCATTTACCCTGCATTTGGTAATCCTTGTGCTCGCTTCCTGGGTGACTCTCTGATTAATTTGACCCTCTCTTGAGATGAAAGACGTGATGCTTTTTGAAGTCGATCGCTAAATGTATCTAATTTGGAGAATGTCCTCTTCTCTTTGCTAGTTAGATCTCCTCTTACCGTGTCCTTCATGGATTCCCTTCGTTAGTTTCGCAATAGCTGAAGGAAATGGAACTGAAATAGGTCCATCCCTTCTGATGGATTCTTTCGCTATTCGAAGTTAGCCAATCTTATCGCGAGTTATTATTACCTACCCTCAATCATGTAAAGACATCCCAAATTCATTCGTTCATTCATAAACCCTTTATTGGGTACTTACCTGATCAGGAAATATTCTTTGTAGCTCTTTCCCTCGGTTAAATTATGACTATGATGTCCTAGTCTATCCTCCTGCAGTTTCTTTGCTTCTGCTCTTGCGAAATCCGTAATAGCAGCCTCTAGCATCATTCGTAACCTGTTGTTTTTGCATTTCAACCCAATAAAAAGTAAACTGTAACACTCTTCAAAGTCTCAATTAACCATGGAAGAAACTTTTGTTCCCTTTCGAGGGATCAAGAATGACCTTAGAGCAAGACTTCTGTGCTACAAGCAAGATTGGACAGGTGGTATCAAAGCCGGTATCAGGTACGTGAGCTTTTTTCAATTATATGGCAGAACAGAATTAGCATCTTAATTCACGGCTGTACAAACTATGGACATGGAGGAATTTGGTCAGCGTACTTGATAAAATATGGCTGATCCAAGTGCAAAGATATGATGGATACTTGTACGTGTTACTATCTTTAATGCTCATCGAAGCTTTCCTGATCGACCTTTCTTTGCCCATTAGAATCTTGGCGCCAACGACTTACATATTCTTTGCCTCTGCCATTCCAGTCATATCATTTGGGGAGCAGTTGGAAAGAAACACAGGTACAATAAATTTTCCTCAATTGTCTATGTCCTTTCTTGATTATTGGAATTACTTTCCTAAAGTCAGTAAATGGAATCGTGTCCTGCAGATGGAACCCTTACTGCAGTTCAAACTCTTTCATCTACTGCACTCTGTGGTGTCATTCACTCACTTGTGGGAGGACAACCACTTCTCATACTGGGGGTTGCTGAACCAACTGTCTTAATGTACACGTTCATGTTCGACTTTGTGAAAGACCGAAAGGATTTGGGCCAGAAGCTTTTCCTTGCTTGGACAGGATGGTAATATACTCTGCCGATTCCGAAATCAAAAGTTTTTAAAAGTGACACTCACAGTGAGAAACTGAACCATTCTGTTATGGCGTTTTCTTATAGGGTGTGTGTATGGACAGCCCTTCTGCTCTTTTTACTGGCCGTTCTGGGTGCATGCTCTATAATCAATAGATTTACGAGGCTTGCTGGTGAATTATTTGGTCTGCTAATTGCTATGCTCTTTATGCAGCAGGCTATACGAGTGAGTATGCTTAATCATCTTTCAACATTGAAAATTAGATATAACCGCAAGATATTCTTAATTATTTGTTTTTACCAATATGTCCTCGGAGAGCCCTCTGAAGATAGCTTTTCAAAGGTGCTTCTCCACTTACATCTACATATGGGTCTACTGGTACGCTAGTGAGCACTAGATGTCTTTGACAGACTGAAAATGCCTTTAATTTGTGAATCCGTAGGGAGTGATAGAGGAGTTTGGCGTCCCTGAGAGAGAAAATCCCAATCAGGCTGCACTATTACCATCGTGGCGATTTGGCAATGGAATGTTTGCTCTGGTCTTGTCCTTTGGTCTCCTTCTTACAGCACTCAGGAGCCGCAAAGCTCGTTCTTGGCGCTATGGAACAGGTATTCATAAATTCTTTAAGCATCCACTGAAAGAAGTGCATTATTGAAATATTTAAAATTCTTCCTAAATATTATTGTTTATTATGCTATACATGGTTATGGTAAACATTTGGAATTAGGTTTTTCTATAATGGGGAGTTGCTGCCATGGGAGGAGGCACTCTTCTATCTGAAGCAAGTACAGTTAAGATATAATGAGTTTTGCTAACAATATGTGATGATCTTTATAGGGTGGTTACGAGGATTCATTGCAGACTACGGTGTCCCACTTATGGTTCTTGTCTGGACGGCTGTGTCATATATTCCGGTTAAAGATGTCCCAAGGGGGATTCCTAGGCGACTTTTTAGTCCAAATCCCTGGTCTCCTGGGGCTTATTCAAACTGGACAGTTGTCAAGGTGCGTTCCAGCATGCATCTATTGTGGGTTTTCACATTTCATTTTGGCCTGCGGTCCAGGAAGAAGGATTTACGAACTGAATCCTGTATTGACGAGATATCATGCTTTCTTGCATACAGGAAATGTTGAATGTGCCACCTCTATATATAGTTGGAGCATTTATCCCAGCAACTATGATAGCTGTGCTTTATTATTTTGATCACAGTGTTGCATCTCAACTTGCCCAACAGAAGGAGTTTAATCTCAAGAAACCGTCCTCTTATCATTACGACCTCCTCCTTTTAGGTTTCTTGGTGAGTGATACCTCCTTTCCAGCTATGTGACAGTTCCTTTTGCTCCTTTTAATCTGTTTGGTTCCCACCAGACTATCCTCTGTGGTCTTATTGGCATTCCTCCTTCCAATGGTGTGATTCCACAATCTCCAATGCATACGAAAAGTTTAGCTACTCTGAAACATCAGGTAATTCTTGGAACTTCGGTCATGAGATGAATAAATACTTGGCAGTGAAGGAATTAAGTAGTTCAAAAAGGAACTTTGCTATTGAAATTAAGATTCTCTTGCTTCTCAAAACTGGCAAAAGGAAGATATTCCTGGGCATGTTTCTGGTTGTACCGAGTAGGATGCTGACCAAATTCAAAGAGGGGCCTGCATCCTGTTTTTGGATGGAACTGGAGGATATAAGAAACTCAGCCTTCAGCTTGGAAGCCAAGCTAGTCAGTAAACGACCATCCATAACTATAAGAGATGTATGGCGTAGCCAAGTGTTATAAAACTGACTTAATGCTGAAGCGAAGTCATTTTCTCAGGGTGCCAAACTTACTTATGCTTGCTTAGAACCACCTACAATATTCCTCGAACTCGTGGATGTTGTCTCAATATGGTAGGCTCACTGCTGTAATTTGCCTCAGAGAGCTTGATAAGGAGCTAGGAATGTTCTTGTTTTCTGTCCTTTGTATACTCAATTGTAGACTATATCGCTTGAGATCGAATGTTGATATTCGTTTCATTATAAGTTTTGTTTATATTTTGTTATTTCATCTTCTTAAAGACCTATAGTGCCACGACTAACACTTGTTGAAAACAGCTCCTGCGGAATAAGCTAACATCAACAGCCCGGAAAAGTATGAGGAAAAACTCAAATCTTGTTCAGCTATACAGAAATATGCAAGAAGCCTACAATGAAATGCAGACTCCCCTGGCCTACCAAATGCCTCCTATGCTGGTGAACTCATCTGCCTGATCTTCTGAATAATAATTTCCCCTGCTTTTGGTAAGACTAACTTTATGACGGGTATAGGGGCTGAAAGAGCTGAAAGACTCGACAATCCAGCTGGCCTCAAGCACCGGTTACATCGATGCTCCCATTGACGAGACTATTTTTGATGTGGATAAGGATATTGACGATCTTTTACCGGTCGAAGTCAAGGAGCAGCGCCTCAGTAATCTGCTGCAGGCACTGATGGTTGGTGGTTGTGTTGCTGCAATGCCTTTACTAAAGAAAATCCCGACATCTGTTCTTTGGGGCTACTTTGCTTTCATGGCCATTGAAAGCTTGCCTGGGAATCAATTCTGGGAGAGGATCTTGTTACTTTTTACAGCTCCAAGTCGAAGATACAAGTAAGCTCCTAATTCTGTCCTGTAAATCTTTCGGCAATGGCATCTAGATCTCAAGTGCTCTCTCTCTCTCTCTCTCTCTCTCTCTCTCTCTCTCTCAAATTAGAAGTTGTAACAACTTGCAATCTAGCTTTGGTTTTACAAAACAAAGAAGAACAATGCATCCATCTAATCGCTGATTGTCTAGTTAAGTGGCTGGTGGTCATCAGGCTTTCTTCTGCATGTAATTGGCATGATTATCATTTGTGTTAGAATCTTGTATGAATATAAAAAACAATGATTTATTTTCTAATTTGGCAGGGTTCTGGAGAAGTACCATGCAACCTTTATTGAGACTGTGCCCTTCAAAACAATTGCCTTTTTCACTTTGTTCCAGACAGCTTACCTGCTCCTGTGCTTTGGGATTACATGGATCCCAATAGCTGGAGTCTTGTTCCCACTTTTAATTATGCTGCTCGTTCCGGTGAGGCAGTATTTCCTGTCTAAGTTCTTTAAAGGAGCTCATCTTCAAGACCTGGATGCTGCAGAATATGAGGAAGCCCCTGCCATACCCTTTAATATGTCATTTGAAGTAAGTTGTCAGGACTATCATTCTAGCTTTTCCTGTCAATGGATTTTAAATGGACATAGCATTAAAATATCCTTAAGTCATGGCACTTCTATCCGGTATCAATTTTGTTCGATGGCTTGCTGAGGCTAATGCTAGTCTAGAACATCTTTAAGCATTAGCATGACTGCATTTTCGTCTTATGGCTGTATGAATCTGTTCTGCATGCCTATGTCTGTTCAAATGGGACATGCACCTGCTCCAGTTGGGATCAACAACTTTTAAAATCATCCTCTTGTTTCTTGGATGATGTAAACTAGAGTAATGCTAGGTCTATTAAGACTAATATTACAAAAAATCTGCCGTATTGGGTATAGCAAAATAACCGAGCTGTAGCATGTCTAGCATTACCCCACGAATTTACTTCATGATAGAAATGCAAAAAGATTAGACGGTCATGCTTCATGCTTTGCTTCTGGTTTATGCCACAGGATCAAGAAATTCCTACAAGAACTACCGACATAGATAGTGGTGAAATTCTTGATGAAATGATCACCAGAAGCCGTGGTGAGATCCGCCACACTCATAGTCCAAAGATAACTAGTTCGACCCCGAACTCGACCGAGGATATAAGACCAGCTCTCAGCCCACGGATGTCACAGAGGGCATTCAGCCCTAAATTTACCGGTAAGGGAGTCGTGGAAAAGCAAACTCACAGTCCTGGACCATCAACTCTTGGAAAGGACACTTACGGCTCGTCTTCAAATTAGAAAGATATATTGCAGTTCTCATTAAGCCATCAATTGTGCCAGAGGAGTCAGTAGTCAAGTGCTAAAAGTTTCTGTAATTGATCACAAATATTTCCGAGTTCTGTTCTGGCACTAACCTGTGAAGGTGATGTATGTCTATTGTCACCTTGCCCAGTATAATCTAAAACACTGCATAGAACTACAGATAACATGTCATGTTTTCTATTATGTCCTGGTCCAAACCTCCTCGTCTGAAACGCAGTTTTCATACACCGAAGACTGATAATATCTCTTTACATGAAATGACGCAACTCTTGCCATTTGAATATATATCAAATCCAAACATGTATCGAAATTTGAAGTACTCAATCTGGCAAGTTCCCTTCTCCTTGCGAAAACGAGAATATCTTCTCAAATGGTGCGAAAGTTGATGATTGGTAGATCAATTGGTATGGAGATGATTTCTACTTTTCTCTTTGTTATCGAAGATCTTCGAAGCCTTAAAAGAACTTTAATCTTCAGTTAATTAGCTTTGACTCCAGGTAAGGTCTTCCATGCACGCTGAAAGATTTTTAGTGCTACTAATGTGAGCTCCTAATGCTGCACGCGTTACGACTACTAAGCATCAGACATCAATTTGAGCGACCATGGTTGTAATTTATGAAATCAATTTGACTTTGTCAAGTAGGGTCCAAGATCAATTTAACCACATTTGCTTCATCAAAATAATTAATTTGTTTTGAATATCGTAGATAAATCATTTTTTTTCCATATTCATATGAATAAATTACCACTATCAAATAAGTGCATTTAAATAGACATATCTCTTTGAGTTATTAATGGTAGTTCAGTATGGCACAAATTCTTGTATTCTGCTTTTGTAGCATGAAAATACATCTCTTCAAAACATCATATTTTAATATCGCGAAAAACCCAAAACTGGTATGCCTATGACAATTTTATCCCAAACTAATTTTTTTACCATAAAAAACCCCAAACTGGTACACCTGTGACAAATTTACCCTCAATTTATTTCTGTTAAATTTTATTGTCAAATTACTTTGTTAAATAACACGCGGCAATTGACAGATGTACCAATTTTATGTTTTACCATCCATTTGTCACAGGCATACCAGTTTATGATTTTTTGTGATATTAATTCAATTTAATGGAAACTAACGGAGGGTAAATTTATCACAAATATACCGGTTCGGGGTTTTTGATGATCAAAAAATTAGTTTGGAGTAAATTTATTACCGGTGTACCAGTTTGGGGTTTTTCGTGATTAAAAAATTAATTTGGGATAAAATTATCACAGATATACCAATTTGGGATTTTCCGTAATATTAATCCTATTTATTATCAACACTATAAATAAATAGTACACTTTTAATAGTTATGAAAAGACGCTTCTTTTCGTGACAATATGCTTGAACAAACACGCTTTGTCGTACCTCTAGTAATAGTTCACTGTTCTTCATCTCGTTTCAAATAACATGTCTATTATGCTTCTTGCAACTCCTCTTCTTCTTTCTCTCGGATCGCACTAATATGCAGAGGAAATTGTCCGATAAGTTCTAAACTTACCAATTCAGTCCTAAACTTTTTAGTTTGACCAATTTAGTCCTAAACCTTTTGACGATTTGCCAATATAGTCCTTCTGGCTAATTTTGGCGAGAATTCGCTGACGTGAACGTCAGTCATCCTATATGGCTCGGCCAGCATTGATGTAATAATTTTTACAAAAAATTTCTGAAATTTTCTGATTTTTAATATTTTTTGAATTTTTCTTGTTTTCCTTATTTCCTTTTCACTATGCATCTTTCCAATAGGATTGGCGAGGGCTGGTTACACTTGCCGACATTGGGCGAGGACCACCAAGCCCTAGCCGACTGCAAGTGAGGGTTGCCAAGCCCTCGCCCAGTGGCTGGCAAGGGCCTGCACGCCTCGTGGCCTCAAGTCCTCGCCTCGCAGCCACACCCCTCCCCCGTGATCAATGTGACCCTCACCCATGGTTAGCGAGGGCTTGGCGACCCTCACTTAGTGTTGGTGAGGGCATGTAGGCCCATCCAAAAAGATGCACAATGAAAAGAGAAAAAAAGAAATAATTATAAAAATTATAAAAATCAGAAAATTATAATATAAAGAATTGCAAAAATTATTCACGTCAGCATCGACCATTCGCCGTCATGTCACGTAAGATGGCCGATGTCCACGTCAGTGATTTTCGACTAAAATTGTTTGGAAGGGCTATAGTCGTCGAAAGGTTTAGAATTGAATTAGCCGTCATACAATAGGTTTAAGACTTTTTGGACAATTATTCCAATAAATGCCTATAACAACTAATATTATTAACTTCCTTCATTTTCATATGAACAAGAACCTCTCTCTGGAACAGTAAATTTGAAAATATAATATCTTTGCTTTTTCATTGGTAATATAGAAAAATGTTAATACCACGAAAAACCTTAAACTATACCTAGTGTAACCCAAATATCCAAAACTTTTTTCTTTGTCACTAAAAACCTTAAACTTGCCCATTGTGACACAAATATCCAAACTTTTTTTTTGTGTTATAAAAAACCCTGAACTTATACTAGTGTGACATACATATCCTGGATGTAACTAAAATAGATGATATATATGTCACATATGTATAAGTTTGGATTTTTTTTGGACGAAAAAAATTGGGAGTATTTGTGTCACAGTGGGCAAGATTAGGTTTTTGGTGACATGTTTAGAGTATTTGTATTATAGTGGGCATAGTTTGGAATTTTTTGTGATATTTTTCCTATAAAAAAATTGTGTTTATTATTTATTTGGTGGCACTATTTTGACACCTTTTTCTAGTCGCCTTTTTATCTTAGGCTCCGTTCGTTTGGCGGAAAATATTCTCCGGAAAATATTTTCCAGGTTTTCGGTGTTCGGGGCGGAAAACGTTTTCCGCGGGAAAATATTTTCCTTCCCCCACACAAAATAGCCTAAGTCTATGGAAAATGACTTTCGCTTCTTCAAAAGCGAAAATCATTTTCCGAGCTTCTTCTTCTTCTTCTTCTTCACTAAGGTCGCCGGCCGCCGCCGGTCGCTCCGCCGCCGCCCGGTCGCCGCCGCCGCCGCCGCCGGTCGCCGGCAAAAAATATTTTCCGAAACTTTTTCATATTGATCACCGAACACCGGAAAATTATGTTCGGGAAAACATTTTCCAGGAAAATGACTTTCGAAAATATTTTCCAAAAGGAGAATATTTTCCGCCAAACGAACTGGCCTTAGTTACCAAATTTCCTTCTATCACAATATTTGGCTCAAAGTTTATGATTGGCCTTATCCCGCTCTCTCTCAATATAATTAATTTCATCACCTGTCTCGTTCACATACCATATTAGTGCTAAGTTGTCAAAAGTTAACTTATCTCTAATGTACTTTTGAATCGTTAAAATTGAAAGTTGTCTTTGTTTTAACTAAGACTATGTTTTGAAAGTGGAAATTTTTTTTTCCGATAATGAGTTCATTGATTTGTTTAAGATATAACAAGGTTAATTTGAGATGTTAGAAAATCGTTCATTTGTTATTTTGTCTATCTTAAAGTGATTGTGATGAAATGTCAAATCTAATTGTAACTTTTTCGTATTAGAAACTTATATTTAGTCATAGAGTAAGATTTTGAGGATATGATTCACGAACTACATTGGTAACAATGGAACCATAAGAAAAGTAAAGTGCTGATCTTTCTCGTCCTTTTTCTTTTCATTAATCTTTTTTTAATCTCTATTGCATGTTAAGTTGAATACTTATGTTTATGCTGTTTTGGAGGAAAAATGAAATGTTTTTCTTTAGTTAGGTTCGAGAAGGAATGAAAAGATAAATTTGAATTAACCCAAGATAGGAAAATAGAATTCATAGATCAATAAGTTTCCTAAAAAATGTTTGTAACTACTAATACATGCTTGATAAAATTGAAAGCTAATTTGGTCAGTTAACGTAAAAAGATGTGTTTTAGCAATAATAGAATTTTGAAATAAGGTCACCTTTATTTACATAGTATGCTTTTATCAAACCTGCAATTCATCTTCATCCTCTAATTATACATATTGTACTACCATAGTAAACTTGAGTATAATCAACTTACGTGTACAATGCATATTTCCCGTAATAATTTCCATTAACATGCAAAGAACGAATTACTCTGTCAAGGCACGTGCAATCATTGCTAACCTATCAAAAGATAGCACCGGAATCTATGTAATCAGGAGCTCTGTTGATCTATCTAGAAGCTCAACTTTTTTTTGATTGAAAGAATAATAACTTCAAACACTGGATCCACATATCCATGTGTATTCCAAAGTTCCAGTCTTCTTCAATTAGGTTCTCAAATTAATCAGGGAACTTCCAAAGACCAAAGAATTTAATCCCAAGCTCTGCTGAAGTTTGGCGATATTTTGAAACAACTTGTTTCATCAAAGCCACGGAAGATAACCATTAAAAGAAGTTTAATCATAAATTAATTAGCTTTGACTCAAGGTAGATAAACATTGTGGTATGCTGAAAGATTTTTAATGCTACTAATGTGAGCTTTCAATGCTGCACACGTTACGTATAATAAGTTTCAGACATTAATAAGAGACATAAAAGAACTAGGTAGCTTACCATATATATGTTGTTGACGTTATTTGAGGGAGCATATGGCTTTGTCAAGTATGGTGCAAGACCAACTTGAAGTCAAACATATGCAACCAAAATCCTCTCTAAGATCAATTCCAAATGAGCCCAACCTGGTCAACATGCACATTTTGGTCATGAATCATGATTGATCACCCACAGACATCGCCAGCCATTTACCATTTTGGACATCTCATGGATTTTCACACACAGCTTGATGAAGATCTTGCCTCCCACCAAGCCTACCTGTCTGATAATTGCATCAATCCGTGCATAAGAAATAATGAAGCCGCCTTTGGCACTGTTTCATCGACAAAGGGCAATTTTCTGCAAGATTTTAACCATATCGATCAGTTTTATGTCGGCGGGTCTTCCTTGAATCATGCACTCAACCAACGAACTGCGTCTTTCGACCCTTCCGATGTATACCCGTGCAAAGTTTTTACAGATCTCAATGTGTACGAGTGCAAGCCATATGCCGAAGATGGCGGGCATGGCCTCGTCATGGACAATTTTCAAGTTGGAGGGAGCTTGATGGCTGTG